GATAGTATCATATATTTCTTCTTCAGATTTTCTTATCTGCATATACATGATTCAAATTTACCTCTAACCACATCTCAAAGGTGACCAATGGCCTGAGATCTGGACACTCTAAAGAAATAGGGGCCCAGATTTATGTATTTTTTTTCTTCATAACTGCTGTTGTCTACTTAAGTAAGTAAGTCTGTCGAAATTGTAGCCTCAGGTTCCTGTACCTAATAGACAGAAGGCTCACCAATAGTCTCATGTTACTGTTGTCTATCTGGCTCAAGGATCAGCGATGGTATTAAACATGCCCTAGTGTACTTTAAGCTACTGTTCAGTCCTCTCTTCTCTCCATGGGCAACTCTTACCCATGAGATATTTTATTTTTCCCCCTGACCTGTGAACCTGAGAGGTGGCTTGGTGTGAAAGGTCCCAGAAAATAAAGCGTTTCTCAAATATTTAGATTTTGCCCCTTTGGCACCAACCATATTATGTTCAAAGTCCCCATAGTCTCAATGCATCCTTATTTTAATGCACAGTTGCAACTTTAGTAAATGTCTTCACCATATGTAGACACATAAAGTCATTTTGTTTGTATCATGTTATTGAGTTTGCCAGTTTTGTGTCAAGCAATTAAACAAATGTAAGTGTTGTACCAAATATTAGTATATAATTTTTTCTGTATAAGAAAAAAGTTAATATGGGATTACAGGGAAATCAGGGGGGCCAAACCTCAAATATTTATGAATTAAAAAACACTTACCCCACTAGTAGTTTTATTTAAAAGTCCTTCTTAAGGCTTAAACCAGATTTTTTTTTTCTTTTTTCAAATTTGTCTTATGGGGTCAGTTTGTTGTATTCCTAAATCTAATCTGTTGTGTTGTTGACCTGAGATAAGGAAAGGGTTCAGAAAGGGCCTCTGATGCAGCTTTATAGCGCATCTGCAGAAATCAGTGTTGAGTGTGAGATGTTTGGAAGGCTAGCATTTGTTTTATGAGGTCAGTTTGCTTCCTTTCTTTTTCTAATCTGTTGTCATATGGGCTTGAGATAAGATCAGAGTTTAGCATCAGCTTTTCCTGCCTCATGATATGTCTGCATCTGTCTAAGAATAGGATATTTGTGTTAACTCTCAGGGCTCGACCAGAGTGCAGCTCTGAACTCTAAGCTGGGTATTATGCTCAGAATAATCTATGATGATGATTAAATTTCAAGTTGCAAATTTATGTGATAAAGATTGCTGTTTTTAAGATAGCATCAACTTTGAATGCCCTGAAAGAAAAGTAACATGTAAATCATGGTCTGACTGTACAAATAAACATCTTACTTATTAGCAGTTGCCCTGGTTTCTCATTTACTGAGTGTGGGATTAAACACTGCCTAGTGCTCATACATGAGAGTGATTAGTTGTGACATAATCTACAGTGCAACATCTGATGCTTAGAGACAATAAAATCTGTAGGATTAGGACATGCTTGTGAGCGCTGGAAAAACTGGAGATCCCTGGGAAGATGGAAGCAGTTCCACCATATTGAAGAAGGAAGTTCTTCTCAGAGTAGTTAATCATAAACTAGGAAATGCACAGCCATAATGTACATGAAAGTAGCATTGAATTAACAGGTTTTCTTATGGTCTTATGGCCGCAAGAGCGGTGAAGTGACCAGAGGGAATTCTACGGCTCTGGACGGTCAGAGCAGAGCGGTGACCTCTGAAGTTGAAAACTCTGAACTTTTGACTGAAATCATGGTGCAGCAACCATCAGGGACTGGTTGTGACATGGTTTTGATGGAGAGTAGCTGAGTCAAAGCTTTCCTTAATCAAAATAGAATATAGAGAAGGTAATAGCGACCATGGTTGAAATAATGAATATTGAAGAATTCATTCCTCATCGCCCTAGCTGCAGTGCAGACCCTGGCCAGACGCTACCTCTCCCCAGGACTGGTGCTCTCTGCCTGGCTAGATATAAGGAAGTACTCCTGAGTTTTTGGAGAAGGTGGTGATACTCTCTAAGCTATTTCAGTTTCTGGAGAATTGGCTGGACCCATAGAAATTGATGCTGATGGTGTTGTTTGGCTTACCACAGCTAAAAAAAAGGTTCATGACTCACTTGATAAAATCCCTGATCATCATGTTGACTTGAAACTGACTGATAGAAGTTGAAGTTTCTCCTATCTGAAATGCACAGTGGTCAACTCTGCGCGGTGTAGGCAGAAATTACACTGGGTTCGGTTTGGATGCGCCATTATTTCTAACCCATTTCTATAGCCTATCTGTGACCCTTACCCTGAACTTTACCATAATGATTTTCTAGTAACCCTGACCCCAACCTAATCTCTAATTAGACCTTAGTACTAAACATAGCCCCTGGCCATTAAACAGCAATTCCCCTCATGGCTTCCAGACATTGGGCTTTACATAGAGCAGTCGGCCTTCACCATGTACTGTTTTTCCAGAAAATGGGCCCCACGTTATATCAAATGCAAGAACACACACAGAAAATCACATTTCTCTATCCTTGCAGGGACCACAAGATTAGTTGTCCCCATAACAGCAGTCGGTTCCAACAAGGTGCTATGATTTATGGAAAATGGTCCATACACAGATACACAAACATCTTCCCTTGTCACGTGTCGTGGTGACGTTGATGGAGAGGATTGATTGTTTATAGGGAATGTTACTTCCATCCTGTGTGACAAATGATTTGTTAATGGATTTTGGATAAAACATGTGCATACACATCCATTAGTTTGGTTCATGAGGTAACTTTTGCAACATTTTGTGGGTCAGGAGCTGATAAGTTTGGGAAAACATGATCTAGTTAAACTTAGCGTAAAGCCAAAGAGTAAGCTTAGGTGGTTCTGTCTTACAACAGCAATGCATGGATGCATCTATTTTCCGTACCTGTTGTCTGTCAGGGTCATATGGGGATGGTGCCTCTCTCTAACATTTTTTGGCAAAAGGCAGGATACATTCTGAACAGGTCTCAAGGTATTAACAGAATGACACAAAGATGCACGATTGCAAAACAAATATGCCCACAATTTAGAGACACAAATCAACCTAACATGATTTGGGCTGTGGTGGGAGTCTGGGTACCTGGCGAGAATCAACAAATGCATGGGAAGAACACACAAACTACATGCAGAAAGTCTTGATGTAAGACAACAGTGCTATAAACTGCACCACTGCGAATCTCTCTGTGGCAAATCCCACAGAGAGCAGACCAAGGCCAGACCCCGAACCTGCGGGAGGGGCTATTCCTGTCTGAAATTGTATTATTATAGGTATTATCAACTTACAACTCATAATTCTGACATCCGACTGAAAACGGAAAGCTGCAATGCTGGTCGTGGTGGCCCACCATGAGTAAATGTATTTTAAGGAAAGATACCCGCATACCTGAGGAGATATGCACAAGTTTCAGAAATAAATATATAACAAAAGAAATATATATAAATATATAACAAAAGAAATCCATCAATTGTATAAATAACTATTTAATAAAACGACTGCTTAGATATTAAGTTACTAATCATATCCTTTGATTTTGTATTTTTCTTAATTCAAGCAAACACAAAATTGTGGGAAAGATCTGGTATTGTAAGGACCAGAATAGAAAATATAGAAAAATATCTTAATAAACTAGAAGGAATGTTTTGTACATCCCTGTTGTGGTGGATCTAATTACTTTTTTGTATACTATGATTAGATAATCATTTGATAAATTGAGAAATTATTTCATATACAATATTATGATAAATACATTTTTGATTACACTATGAAAGCATTAGGCTGCCTCAGAAAATGACAGTCTGTCCTTAATGCCTTTATGTTAGGGCCTAAAAAGCTGCACATTGACAACATTTATAGTAGCTCTTGTTTAATGAAAGAAAAGCCAGAAAAATAACTTGATATATAATAATAAATTAAAATTCTATGAAAGTTAAAAAAAGGAAATTCATACATGCTTTTCAATCATGCTTCAACAGAATGATTAGAAAAAAACAAAAATCTCCTGAAACAGGCCTGGACAAAATTATGGTACCTTTAGAAAAGACTGAAAATAAAGTAACCAAAGGAATATCAAGGTCTGTCCACTAATTAGCGTCACAGGTGTCTACAATATTGTAATCAGCCAGTTAACCTATATATAGGGCTACAGGTGGTCACTGTGCTGTTTGGTGACCTATGCTCTCTTGTGCTGCTCAGGTTCTCTAAGTTTGAGCTAAATCCTCTTTTCTGTGATATCTCTAAGTTACTGTAACTTTACAGAGTAACTTAGAGATATGCTCTTTTAAGCACATTTAATACGGTTTTACTTTTTACACTGACAATTTTTTTTATTCCTTATGATAAGAGGTCTTCTTTCTTTCTTCCCTGATACTTTCTGGACTCTCTCTAAATCTCCTCTTCTCTCATGCTTTCTGCGCTCTTTTGATATGTGTAATAAACTATTTTTGTAGCTTTGAATGTGAATTTTTTAGAGGAAGAGTGTGCTGTAAATAAATGCCAGCATGTTTTAGAAAATTATATAAAACTTTTACTGTAAAAATCTTAACTTTAGTGAGAAGCAGCCAATCAGATATCAGGGTTTCCATGGAAGCGGACCTCATCCCACCTCCCTGATTTTTGATTTATGTGTAAAAGTTCAAATTACTTTATGGTGTGCTTTAAAGAAGACAGATTACATAATATATTAAATTGATTAATTTTTTATTGTTTTTATTTCCATAGACGTATGCCCAAGATTAGTTGAAGGAAATTGATTCTCCACTTTTGAAAGCTCTCATTGTTTCCATTTTTTTTTTGCTTTATATAGTAGACAGAGAATGCATTTGCTTTCTGAAAATCCACCCACACTCAACTAATTAATTAAAAGGGAATTCCGAGTTTAAATCGTCACTAATCCAAGCAGGATGAGGCAGTGTTATCAAATAACTCATAACTCCACTACGACAAGCACATGCGCATCATCACTTCCCACATCCAGCGCCAACTGAGCTAAGTCTTATAACCATCTGCATCTCCAGAGCGATCATCATTTTGTTGGAGAGAAGGAAGCTGAGCTTTGTTGGAGTTGCCTGTTTACCCAGGAAAACTATTCTATTGACAAATACTGATTATGTATTTTAAGTTCTTAAGATGTTTTTTTCACCCAAAGCCTCTCTTATTCTGATCAGAGAGTTGAGGATGAAAAGGTTAAAAGTGGATTCTGAAAATCAGTAATGTCTCCATTCCCTAATCCGAGGCACAGACTTAAAAGGGGATGTGTGGAACACCCATTTGGTAAGGTTTAAAAAAGAAGGAACACAAAAAACAACTGCAAAACGGACTCCAGCTGAAATATGCATGCAGGTGAGTGACATCAATATGTTTTCTTTATTATGCTTTCTTGCACGAGCAAACGTAGTGGATTAAAGAGTGACAGGGGCTTCTTTAATCCAGCAACTTCCTCTTTGGAAATATATGTTGTTTAAAAACCTATATTTTTCATTTGTAGTTTAAATCCACTGGTTACTAGTTTAAGCTCCTTAGATTTATTTTTCATTCATTTATCTACAACATTTCCCTGATTTTGCATGCTCTGATTCCTATGGCAACAGTCCCACTAGCTGGTGTTTAGTGAGCACCCTTTGAAGAGAGAAAGAGATTTTTTCCATTAAATGTTGCAATGTTTTGTTTTCTCATCTGTGGCTTAGCAAAAACCATATATGTTGCCTTGCATTTTTTCATCTTAACTGTGAACATAGTGTAATGACACTTTAGATCATTTCTTTCTAATCTCTGCCATTTTCTTTTTCTTTGTTTTTAATTATCTTTTATGCTACTTTAAACTGTAAAGTTTCTAAGAAAATGTAATATTAAAGCACAATAAAGCTAGAAGAAAAAGATATTAGCTATACCTCACATTATTATTAAAAGTCAGCAGGGGGTTGAACCTACAGTATAACAATTAATTGTTATTGTGCACATTGAGTGTAAAGTAAAACTGACATTTTAGTAAAAAAAAACATCTATAGGGCGGTTTAGCATCTTTTGATCTCAGGAAACTTCTTTATTTAAGATGCATTTTGTCATAAAATTGAGCCAACCTTCAGGCATTTGATTTCTCTGTTAACTTGAGACACCACTGTATTGGTTCAAGGCAAACAGATTGTCAATGTTTCAGCCTCTCAGTTAAGCTCTGAAGCAAACAAAGAAAAACAAAACAAATGAATGTAATGAAAAGATGCAACCTCGGATGCAAACAGATGGTAGTAGCAGCATGGTCTTATGCTCGAAGCAATACTTTAAACTCCTCAACTCTGACCTTTTATATACATCAAGAGACATCAACCACGGTCAAACAAATCCTGCTAAGCTCTCTCTATCTTTCTTATTCCTTGATTGTACCCCTCCTCGCTGTGGCGTCATTCACTGATGATTCCTCCTACAGTTTGGATATTACTCCTTTTCACCAAAGAGGGATTTTCTCTTGCACAGAGGATTAAAGGTAATTCTCATCTCACCATTAACATTTAGCTTTTTTTAAGATGTTAAAGTAATGTTTACATATTCTCAACTGATAAAAGAATTTCATTCAATTTGTAGAAGGAGGTGCAGGATCTAAAGGAGGCAGATTCAGTGAGCAGTCACGGAACAATCGCCACTGTGGGACCTGGGTTCGAAAATTAGATGGAGGAAGCTTCAACTCTCCAAACTACCCAAATACATACCCTCCAAACAAGGAGTGCCTTTACGTACTGGAAGGTAACAGGCATGTGAGCCTGATTGTTAAGCTTTGCAAAAAGAGTTGATTTTTAAGTACCGTGGGTTTTACCAAAAAATCTTTCTGATGGTGGCTTGGAAGCAAAATATTTTTTTCAGCAGCACATTAATCTAAGTATTCATTCATATAAAACTCTAATATTCATTTGCGACGAATAAGTGAAAAATTGTTTACTGATTTAATTCATATAAAAAAAAAAGATTGAACTCCTTAACTGATTCAAAGGTTACTTCTGCAAAGGTTTAGTTTAAGGTTAACTTTATATAAAGTATCATCCTAGGATGTAAGCTATCCTCCTTCAGACTGATTTGCATTTTTAGATAATTTGTCCAGAATATAACTTATATGTCTAGTGTGTATATACTTTTTAGAGTGCAGTCTTACTTCTTGTGCCATGGCTTGGTTTAGTAGAAAGTGATACCCTGCCTATGTTTTGACAGCTCTGGCCCGTCAGAGGATTGAGCTGCTGTTTAACAAGTTCTTTCAAATCGAAGCCTCATTCGAGTGCCGCTTTGACCACATTGAGGTGAGGGACGGTCCCTTCAGCTTCTCGCCGCTCATCCATCGTTTCTGTGGCACAGCCAGTCCCGGCCTTATCCAATCCAGTGGACGCTTCATGTGGATCCGGTTCTACAGCGATGAAGAGCTTGAGGGGAAGGGATTCCAGGTTCAGTATAGGTTTACTGCAGGTGAATAAACTTCATAAAGTTGATTGGGTCACCTTTTTAAGCCAATATTCTTACAGCAACTTTTGTTTTGTTGTTTTTTAATCCCCATGCTCTGTGTCTCTCTCGTTTTCCTAAAAAGATCCTGAATTTCATCTACACGTAGGGGGACTTTTAAACCCCATCCCAGGTGAGACGTTCACAAGTCATAACTGAGATTAAGCTGTCAGTCAATGTCCTTAAAATGTTTGATCCTCTTATCCCTCTAATGCTTCTTAGTCGTATTTTGTCTGTCTGTGGTTCAGATTGTCAGTTTGAGCTAAATGGGCTTGATGGCATGATCCGCTCCAGCCAGGTTGAGGAGGAGAATAAAGTGAAGCCGGACCAGGCAGTGGACTGCATCTGGACTATACAAGCCCCAGTGAATAACAGAGTACGGCATGTCTCAGTAATCTCCCTTGGAACATTTGATCTAAGTAATAAACTTTATTTTCAAACCAATGTTTAGGAATTAAAATTGTATTTGTCTTTGATCAAATCACATAAAATTCATAATTATTGGCCATTAGATTATCTTATCCTTTATTCTAGCACTGAATAAAGGATAAGATAGGATTGATTTGAGTAGTGAGCTTGAACAGTAGCAATGCTGAAAATGTTATCATGCACAGATGGTGTTACTTTTTATTTCTTTTAGATTTACCTGAAATTCATGGAATATCAGATGGAAAACTCAAATGAATGTAAGAAGAATTTTGTGGCTGTTTATGATGGCAGCAGTGCGATCGAGGACCTCAAGGTAAAACACTGTCTAACATTTTAGCACATCAGAAAGATGCAGATGGTCAATTAGCCCGAGATGAGGAATTATAAAAAGTTACATTTTTGTACCAATTAAATACCTTAAAAAGGAGCCATCTTGAGTGTTTGAAGCCATCAGCACAACACATCATGTGCTTTGATGCACTAATTTGATGCCGTAAAGGCATCACTTTATCATCCTGAGTTTCTAACATGCCTTGTTTTTCTTTCCCTGCCATAAATGTATGATTGGATGATGAATAACGAGCAGCTGGCCTAGAAAACCTAGCCTCAGCGAGGCCACACATACAGTTATCAATGAAAGTGGTGTGTGGTTTCTTGCAGGCCAAGTTTTGTAGTACAGTTGCTAATGATATCATGCTGGAGACTGGTTTTGGAGTGGTGAGGATGTGGGCAGATGAGACAAGCCGTCTTAGCCGCTTCAAGATGCTGTTCACAGTCTTCTCTGATCGTGAGTTTCACCTTTCTGATTAATCTTTGCTTTTTCTTCTATTCATTTTGAGTAGCAGTGACCATTGTGATGTATTGTTTAGTGATGATAGCTAAGAGTGAGGTAGTTAAGTTAAATTTCAGATGTATACAGGTTCTTTTAAAAAACAAATCATTTGCCCACAAATAATTACAAATTAGGACACCCTTGGGTAGCTTATAAGTTTTTTAAAATATATGGAAATATGGAAATTTAATATAGAATAAATTTAATTTTTTAATGATGTAACTAAACAATTTCAATAGATGAAAAGAAAAGAAAAAACCTTGGGCAAACTGCAAAAAAAAAACAGCCTGATGAAAAACGTAGAAGTAAGGACACTCCAAAATATATTGTTACTTAAAATGGCTGAAATTACATGTAGTTGTGTCACATTAAGTGCAAATGACTCAGTATTTTGAACAAAGTTTGTCCTGTTTGACCTCTACATATTTAGTTGGTTTTCTCCTGGGTGTTGAAGCAAAAGTAAACACTGTGCTGAGATTTAAAACGCTATCTGAAGCCTCCAGGCTGGGATTGTAGCAGCTTGAAAGAGATATATTGAGGTCTAAAAACTGCAATTCAGCCATTTCTTCAAGCAGAAAAAAAAAAATCACAAACACAGAAATTTTAAAGCAACTGCTAACAGGCCTTGTTATAGCAAACAAGGTCTCAAAATCTTCCAAATGTGAACCTGAAGCCAGCTATTACTTTAGTTTAAAATCTATGCCTCTACAGCCAGAAAAAGAAGGGTTTGATCAGGTTTAGGTTTCATAGGATGTGTGCAAGCTGGAAACCTTTATTCTCTAATCAAACCATATAAACCATGCTAAGGTTTACAAGACAGAATATGCACAAAGACCAGGATCTTTTTAATAATATTCTTTGCACAGATGAGTCTAAAACTGAAGTATTAGAGGCACCAGAACATCTCTGCATAAAGAGGACTTCAGAAGAAGGACAGACCAACCGTGAAGCATATAGCTCTCACAGTTTATGGATGCTTTGGTGCTGCAGGACATGGACAGTTCCCCTTGATAGAATGCACATTAGCTCCATGTATCCAAGAGTGCTGAAAAAATTGTGCGATTATCTGTAAAACCATTTGAGATGAAGCAAAACGTAATTCTGACACATGACAATGACCTGAAACTCCAAATTAGACTGGCCTAGTGTTAAAAAAAAATAATGGCAATTTGTTAATAAATAGGCAATATATGCAGAAAACAAACAAACTAAAAAAAACACAGCAAAATACTCAAACATGTTACAGCTGAAAATCCTTCACAGTTTATATGAGAATATCGTTTATACACTGAGTACCGTAATACAAAGTTAAGGTAATGTGTAAACATGTAGAAAAATACTCTCTTTCTGAGATATTTAAAAGAGAATAATCAGTCATGTGTGAGCACTAACTTTGGAAGCACTGAACAATAAATGAGGTGTCCTATGTTTTCCATATGATGGTTGCTTCATATAGGTACAGCTTAAGCTGTTTCAACCTGGATTTTCCTTTATAGTTCTCAAACAGAGCTGTTGTGTTTGTGTTTTAGCTCCTTGCATTGGCAGCACATTCTTCTGCCACAGCAACATGTGCATCAACAACTCTCTGGTCTGTAATGGCGTACAAAACTGTGTCTTTCCCTGGGATGAGAACAACTGCCAAGGTAACCCAGCTCAGTCAGACACATTCTTCATGCTGTAGTACATAGAGCGGTGTCATGTTTGGAATTCCTTTACTTGTCATGCTTATATCTGATCACTGTCTTTGAGCCTTTGAAGGATCTCTGCTTGTAAATATGAGCAGTGCTTTGCAGCAAAACACCAGAGTTTAATTAATATTTTACACTAAATCCACAGAAGAATAAAAACTGGGAATTATTTAGAAAAATCCTTTCAGTGGGAAACTCAGAAACTTATGATCGTGACCTGTTTTCATCTAGTAGAGACTTTTTGGCTCATATGGTCATGGTATATTTTAGTCAATTTTGGGGCTTTAAAATACAGATTATCTGTTATTTAACAGTCAGTAATTATTTAGCAAAAAAGTGTCAAAATCTAAAAGTATATGAATATGTTGGTAATCATTCTAAAAGCATATCCCTGAAGTCCCAGATTTCTTACTTTCTTTTTACCATGTTTGGGGGTACTTGAGTGTGGGAATTTACTGTAGATTAATTCCCTGATTAGCAGGCATACGTATACTGTATACACAGACCTATGGCAAGAAGCTAATAATTATTGTAACATTTCTGATATTTTCTTCTGATTTTTATCTTAATATATCTCCTCATGTCTGTATTCCAGAGGCAAAGAGCAAAACTGCTATTTTCCAAATCACCAAGACTCAGGGAACCATCATCTGTATTTCTACAGGGGTAGTGATGTTACTCCTGATTTTCTCCATAATGGTGCAGGTCAAACAGCCACGTAAAAAGGTAATAAAAATGAGATGTTAACACTTATTTCAATATCAATCTTCAGTTCTGGTAAGACAAAAAGGACGGCAGGTAGCATTCAATGCAATTCCTATTATTCCTGAAACAAAAAAAAAAGGCACAATAGAAAAGCTGTGTTAAAACAAAGCAGAGCACTAATCTGAAGCATAAATATGTTTCCTAACACAAAGTAAAGAATTAAACTCACTGAAATTAAATGACATTGATAGAACTAATATTAATGTCAATCAGTTTAGGAAAGGTTATAAATACACTAAACATAAAATAAAATAAAAAAAACATCAGCCAAAACCATTATATCCAAGAACACTTCAACCATCTGACAAAAAATATGTATTCAACCATAACCACCTAAAACAGTTTTTAGTCAATCACTTTACAGTTCCATTTATTCTTGAAAATAATAGTTACTGATTCTCCTAGCAGCAGATATTTTTGCATATTCACCGATATAAGGCTTTGCAGTGCTAAAATAAATGGCAAAATGAAGACCTACCCAGTTCATTTTGTACGTTTTATAAACAAAAAGAAAAAAATCCCTAATTAAGAATCAGTTAACACCAGGAACAGATTAAAATCTATGACCAAAGCAAAAACTATTTTCAAAAGGGGGGAGTGGCGGCCTAGTGGTTAGCAGAGATGGGAAGTAACGAAGTACAAATACTTCGTTACTGTACTCAAGTAGATTTTTCTGATATTTTTACTTTACTTTACTACTTATTTTTATGGCGACTTTTTACTTCTACTCCTTACATTTTTACACAAATATCTGTACTTTCTACTCCTTACATTTTAAAAAATTGGCTCGTTACTTTAGTTTTAAATCATTTCAATGGAGTTACCGTTATTATTTTTCACGTCATCAATACCAAATTCAATCAAATTGGATGGGAATCTACGTTGCATTTGACGCACCACTACAAGATGAATCGACAGATTTGGCGTATTCATTGGCGGCAAATCATTGCAGCTTGGTGGCGGTGGCGTTAGCATAGTAGCATGGACGACGAGATGATTGAAAATGAACACAACGGAGATCAAGTCCTATTGGCAGACATCCATTTAAAATGTAGGCAACGGCATGAAAAAAGTGGTTTCTACTTTTACTTTTATACTTTAAGTAAATTTACAAGCCTATACTTTGTTACTTTTACTTGAGTAAAGAAGTTTAATCAGTACTTCCACTTTTACCAGAGTATTTTTTAACACAAGTATCTGTACTTTTACTCAAGTACGGAAAGTGCGTACTTTTGCCATCTCTGGTGGTTAGGGATCCTGAGGTTCTGAGTTCGAGCCTCACTCCCACTGACTGCCACTCTGGGTCCCTGAGCAAAACCCCGACACTGCTCCCCAGGCGCCCCACGATGGCAGCCCTCTGCTGTCCAAGGGGAGGGGTTAAATGCTGAGTTAAATTTCTCTAATGTGAGATCAATAAAGTTAAATTATTCTTTATTATTATTATTGTTATTGTTATTATTATCAATAACTATTGCTCTAATTGTATTAACAGTTATTTATTTATAAATAATTTGTCAGATGAAAAACAAACTTGTTATCAGGTACCAGAGAATTTTTCTCAGTGTTATAACTACCAACTACCAACTTTAATTTAATTTCTGAAGTGTTTTCCTCACCCCTCTCAACGTCTCCTTCTGAACACATAGGGGTGCATGTGGCAGTATTAACTTTGAAAATACTGCCAATAGTGCTATTTGTTGCATTTGAATATTGCCAATGTAGTCACAACTGGTTGCAGACTTGGTCTTGACCAAAATCCAGAGGTTAGCAAACTTTAAAAATGTTGTCTTGAGACCCATTTCAGTTTCTCCTTAAATAAGGCTGCAGAACTTAAGTTTGCATATGAGCGACTAAATAAACAGTAATGTTATTTTTGGAAAGATGAAATCAAAAGAGATAATTGGCTTTTATGTATATCTCCATGTTTGGTAAATGGAAAAAAAGAAAAAAAATCACAAGGCATTCAACTACCACCTCAAAATTACCCAGACATCTGCATGTACTCTAGGCAGTATCTACTGCAGTATCTACTGATGTTAACACATATCTAGTTGGTTGTTCTAATGGCTTTTATCATTACATATAAAAATGATAGTTATTGGAATAGTTTCTCTGCTGTTTTTTTTAAATCAAATCTTATAGTCGAACCAAAGTTGTCTCACTGATGTCCTTGTTCCTTTCCTTTTGAGGCCTACTGTTTGAAAACTAAAGTGGGGCTGAAGTTCAGTTTTTTCAAACAATGATCACAGGTTTGATTTAAATGATTTCTGATGACAGTTTTGTTTTAAAGGAACAGCTGAGAACCTTTGCGTAAATTAACAAAGGCAATAAATGGAATAATGTTTAGTATTTGTTCATTCTTAGCTACAAAATGAAAAGAAATAACTTTATAACTTGGTTATAACTCGGTTACTGTGATTAGGTTTTGATAGATAAAGGCCTGAAATTAAGAAAAAAAACTTTACTTTCTATTAACCACAGCAGCATTTTTGTTGGTGCATAAATTATTTTTATATGTTTTCAAGGTAGTGAGACGAAAGAAAAAACTGTTCCAAAACCCTCACCTCCAGAAGATGTTTGAACCCCAGCACTACGAGCTGTTTTCTGTCAGAGATAAGGTTCAAATTATAAGTATTATCCATTAAAAACATACCTGTTATTTTCCTTACCAGCGTATAAAATGTCCTTGATCTGTTTATTACTTTTAGGAGATGTCTGGAGACTTAAGGGAGCTTTCAGAGGAACTCCTGTCCCTCCAAGCTCTGAGGAGATCTTCGTCCGGATCTCGCTGTGTTCACGAACATCATTGTGGTTCCCAAGCTTCCATCAACTCTATCAAAGCCAGTCTTGGTTCATATGCGTTGGGGAAGGGATCTTTGGATCTACCTCCTTTTAGAAGGGACAGTCAGACTGATGTGCCTTCTTTCAGAGATGTGGACAGCAGTTTGAGGAAGAAAAGCTGGCCTGGTTTAAAACAGAGCCGAATGCAGAGTCAACCTGCTATGGGTGATCGAGTACTGTGGCAGCAGGATAGAGTTATGGAAGAAGATGAGGACGAAGAGGAGGGGGAGGGGAGGTATGATCTGTATGTCAGAAAAGCAGGGAGCCGAAGGGCAAAATATGACATGGCTCAACAAAGATCTCAGTCCATGGACTTTTAGCATAAACAACAGAGGTTAGCAGATTAAAAAGTCAAAGATTTGGCAACAGTTATGTGCTGCTGTTAATAAAAAAATGAAGATAAAAACAGATTTATCTTAAATGGCCATTTTTGACTTTCCTTTTTTTATTCATGTTAAAACAGTGTTTTCTAAAAGGCATATGTAGTATCAGGAAACTAAAGAAACAATGGTTTTAATAGACTGTTAAGTCACCTTAGAAGAGTCGGTGGAAGTTTTTGGTGTCATATATCTTTGTTTTCAGGGATACATTACAAAGGGACCCAAAGGACAAAGGGCCATTTTTGCCTGTGAAAGATTTTTCTTTGTATTCTAGATTACATGGAAATTCATTGTAAAGCCGGAAAAAGAATAACTCAGTGAAACCTAGATGGGATTATTCTCAGACAATGCAAATTCCATGAACCAGACCTTATTAAAACTAAGAATTATGTGTAAAATGCTATGATTCCTCTTTTTCACACAATCTGCTTTTTATGTCTCTCTCTACTATTCAATGTGTTTAAGTTGCAAGATAAATCACTAGGTGAAATACAATTTTAATATATAAAAAGTCTCTCGGTCTTTGTTTGATCCATTAATGTGCTCAAATAGGTGAGGAGAAATCTGATCTTGAATTTGACCTACTTTAAGGGATGACTGTTTTGACATGATTTCTTTTAACAGGTGTGTTTCACATTTATGTAGTTGAAATTACCTCCAACAAAAGTAATTGGCTTAGTGCTGTATCATATACCCATCTAGCGTGCTGACCATTACCAAACACTGTAAACTTTGGTAAAATATTAACCATTTAACTGTAGACACACCTTGAACTTATACTGTGTGGCACATGACATCATTTTGCAATATATAATAATGAAACCAAAAGCCAGTAGTTACCTTGAATTAGACTTTGTCTGTTTGCTCTGGTAGCTTTTAACACCCAAACTGAACACTAGCATCTAGGACATTTTTACTTTCTTATTCTTTGTTATTGGTATGAACATTTAAGGGTTGTTATCACCTGGCATTTAACTGCTATTGTGCAGAAAAAATTCACACAACTTCAGTGTTTGTGCATGGCTTCTCTTTACCAGACCGGGTTTTAAACCTTTGGTCTTCGATGCCCAATTATTATAGTGAAGGCATTTACTAAGATTAATCTTATAAAGAGAAATCTGTTTTTTTTAAAAAGCCCTTTTATGTGTGAGGTGTTGGCTTCAGTCAGACAGTTCTTTACCAGACCTGTTTAGAAATCAGTTTTTATTTTCGTTCAGCTGCCCGTGATTATACCAGAGACGCATTATATAACAGGGAACTCAGGGGAAAATAAAAGTATGATAGGTGAAACTATAAACTTTTACTGCAGGACAATGACTCAACAATTTGGATCTGTGATACTGCATCCTTTGTTCTTGGTTCAGAGTACTTTTTTCTGTGAATATACTATTCAGCAACCACTTTGGGTATAATATGAAAGAATCTGCAGTCTGTGGAAACGGTGCTGATGTCCTTATTGACTTCCTGAGGTGTGGTGTGATATCTTTGAAGATATTGTCATTTATTTATTTATTTGTTTGTCAAGGACAGTACACATTGATGAACATTTTTGAACATTTGCCAGTGTTAGCTATGAACCTAGTTTTCAACTGTTGTCCCTGGGCCAGGTGTAAAAATTATAAAACAAACTTAGAAAATATATTTAAAAAAAAAAACGAGGCTACATTATTAAAAGTGCAGGTCATACAGTTCAAACAGAGAATTAGCATGAAAATGTACAGATATTTACCAGGTAACACTCGATTCTGACATTTGGCTGAGACATGCACCAGGTGATAAATAAGGTCTAATGAGCACATTGTTGATTTGTTTTTAACCATTTTTTTAAACTTAGTTCTGAATGTGTTCAAAGTGGAGGATTCTCTGATACTGAGAGGGAGGCTGTTCCAGATGTTACAGCTCCTAAAATAACAATGTGGCCAAAGATGGTCCGTCTGAAGGGCACTTCACAGTCTCCTCTAACCATAGACCGAGGGCTTTGCCAAAAGAGGTTTTCAGTTTTATGAACTCCCTTAATGGTGGTGGCACAAGACCATTCAGTACTTTATAAACCATTCAAACTAATGTAAGATATTTAAAATTCTCAAAGTTGAGGAGACTGTAAGTCTCAAGAATGCGACAATGGTTGTACAAAACAGTTTTCTTTTTGCAAAAATCTTTAAAGCTGTTTTATATAATGATTTGTTTAAATGTGGTTTCATTTGCAGGAGACCAGGTTCTAAAACAATATTCGATGTGCGAGGATACACCATAGAATGCAGAAACATCCTAGCTGCCGGTAACGTCATTGATGAACGAATAGATCTGAAGTTTTGAAGACTGAATTTTATTTTTTAGAGATTTTCTTAACGTGACCTTTAAATGTAAGAGTAGAGTCAAAGACTACTCCAAGATATTTGAACTCTTGTACCAGTTCAAACTCCGCATCTCTGGGATTAATTTGAGTGTTTTTTGTTTTGTTTAGAAAACATCAGACACACAAAAAAAATCAAAAGACAGAAAAAAAAACATATCTTTTTAGTATTTATAGGAGCCATGATTTTGAGAACCAGTTTTGGGCTTTTTCAGATATAAAAATGTGGCCAGCTTCCTCTATATTTTTTTGCTGGTGTCTGTATTACAGCCTCGCCTGCATACATTTGTATCTGGGTATGTCTGCTTGCTTCATGGAAGCTTATTTATGTAGAGTGAAAAAGAGGAACATATAGAGGTATGTAATCACAAGTTGCAGCTGGTCGCTTTGAAATTTTGCATTGGAGTAAACAATTTCCTCTACCTGGTAATTGAATTTGATCTAAAAAAAAAAAACTAGGTTTGAAGAAAAGAATACACAGCAAGAACAAAGGCTGTGGAAAGGCATGAACATGGTTTAATGTCCACCAACCCATCGGATCATATGAAGTCATTACCCTTACATTTTAGAGAAAAGGCAGAGGGCTGAATAGATCGCACACGACTTTCTGCAACTGTGCATTCGGTCGCCCCAAACTAGATAGAAACCTGCTCTATTTTGGTCAGACCTCTGTGGTTTTAAATAAAATACTTCCAACAAGCGCTGCCCTTCTTATCTTACCTTATCTCTTACCTTAATATCTCTTGCACTTCCAGCTCTGCTTCCTGTTTAGTCGCCAGTACAACTGTCTCTAAAACTTACAAGATGGCAGGTTTCAGTAGATGCATAATGCAAATCTCCTGTTTTGCATTGTGTGGAGGTCACTAGAGTACAGTAAATTAAACCAATGTTAGAAAGAACTATTTGACATAAATTTTAGTTTATAAAATTTATCAGAAAATTATCCAGCTGAAAGAAGCCATTAGAAAATGTATACTTAGACAACTTTTATTGTAATTTTGTGTACATAGAGTGTATACAAAACGAAACTTCGTTTTGTACAGCTTTCAGACAGTAATTGAGCAGCAGCTTAGCAGTGAAATGAACATTTCCATTTTATAAAGTGCAGCAGTGATCAGAGGTAAACAGGGTGGGAGAAAAACATGGTGCAAAGCGCATTGATATGGAAGTTCAAGGCAGGGCAAAGACAAATATGAATGGTGCAAAAATGCCATAGAAAAACAGTTTCTCAACAGTTTAGCAATCTGATGGCAACAGGGAAAAAGCTGTTGCAGAATCTGCTGGACCTGCAGTAGATGCTGTGAAGCCTCTTCCCTGAGGGCAGCAGGGAGAACAGACCATGGTGGGGATGTGAGGGGTCATTGATGATGCTACAGGGTCGGGACACGCAGCGGTTGGAGAAGAGCCCCAATGATCTTCTCTGCTTTTCTCACCACTCTTCTCACATACTTCCAGTCTGAGGAGTTGCAGCCTCCCCACCACCCAGTGGGACAGCTGGTCAGAACTCTCTCTATTGTGCTTCTATAGAAGGTCGTGAGGATGGGTGATGGCAGGTGGGCTTTCCTCATCCTCCTCAGGAAGTTCAAGAGAGTTCAATTTGTGAATTGTTGTGTCATGCTTTAGCTCATCTGCTCAAAAGGTTGAATATATTGTTCATATATTGAATTGTTATCTTGAATAGTCATTATGCCCACCTATATGCTGCTCAAAGGATAATTTTCTCTTTTTCTAACCATTGTCATTAAACTCAAGAGACAGCTATTTCTTGATAACCCCATCTAATTATTATATATTGAGAAGTTCCAATTTCTTACCAAAACCAATGCCATTTCCAATGCCAAGACTGTCTCTCTTGTCAGAGAGAGAGTCAAAGGGTCATTTTCACTGTAAAAAAAAAAGTGAAAACGACTCGTGAGTGTATAGGCTCTCAAAGAAACGTGTGTGTGGGTATGCCCTTTATGTGACCCCAGATGCATAAACATGCATAGCTCCTTTTATGAGATATGTTAACAGCTGTGGTTGCAGACGATTGTGATGGAGCAGATAGTGTGTTCCCTTTCAGTTATGCAACAACTCAGCATTTGTCAATGTTCAAACACCTACAGCTCCCAAACACTGAACTCACTAACATAAATTATAGCACATGCTTGGGAAACGATGTAAGGAACACAGACTCAGAGGATTTAAAGTGCATAGCCTCTTTAACCACTTAAACAGCGTTAAAACACCACAAATCACTGGTCATAGAAATATAATGCTGATCAAAATGAATAAATACAAAACATTAGATACACCAGAATGAGATCAATTACAAAATACTAAGCTACAATGACAGCAGCATATGCTTAAGTCAATATTTTTTTTTATGTCCTTAAGCAGCCGTTAATAAATATAATATAAAATATTTTACATACATTCAAGTCTTAATTAATTTAGGAATGAAACCAGTTCTAAAAGGTTACAAAAATATGCAGTTAAAAAATGCAAACAATAACTTTTCTTCATTCATTTTGACATTTTAGTCGACACATTCAGCTTGTGTTTCAGTCTAGACGTTTATAATATGAGTGTCCAGTTGGTCCCCCTGAGATCAGTGCAGAACGTTATAGCATAACAATGTTCTCTTAGTGCCATCTGTGTGTCAGCTTTCAAAAGATTCCTCAAAGAAAGCCCTGCGGTCATATCTTAGCAGGGGTGTGTTCTCTCCAAGAACAGCTTCGGTGAAGTTAGGTCGTCTCCAGGCATAAACCATACTGTTAAGGAATCCTTGGAGGGACACAGAGGCAGCCTGAAATAATAATAATAATGAAAAACAGAAAGTTGTAAAAACTTCTTTCTTTTTTAAAGAGAAAATACCAACACCTTTTAGAGCCATGGAACTATAAATATTTAGTAACATGGTAGAAACAAGGAAGAAATAAGCTTATCTGCTTTTTTTTTTTTTTTTTTTTTTTTAGCAGAAAATAAAAAAGATAGTATTTCTTTAAAGGAAAATTATGAAAAAACACCTTTTTTGGCCATGCATATAAAATGAGAACCATAAATGAATTAACACCTATAATATAAATCCGCAGCATTCAGCAAGTTATTGTAGAGAGTTTAGTTATTGAAATACGTCAAATAAATATGTAGCTGCTTATCACCAAAAATATGTAAAATATACTAAAAAAGAATACCATACCATCGGAAATGTATTTATAAAGCACTTCCAAAACCCAAAGAGTGGTGTATAAAAGTAGTACTTAAATAAAAAGCAATAATAAAATACTAAAAGAAATACAGTAAGAGAAAGTCAACATCTCAGATTGTGTTAAAAACCAAAGGGAAAAAAGCATCTTGAGAAAAGATTTAAATTTTTTTTTTTTTTTTTTTTTTTAAAGCATGGTCCCTTCTTAGCTTGCGTTTTGTCTTTGGCACCTCACTAACAACTGGTCAGCTGATCTAAGGGAGCGAGAGGGTGTGTAGGGATGAAGCAGCTCAGACAGGTATGACGGGGCAAGACCATTTAGAGCTTTAAAAGGAAATAAAAGGATTTTAAAATCAATGGTTAAATGTACTGACAGCCAATGTAATGAGGCTAAAATAGGGGAAATATGATCAAATTTGCTTGTACCTGTTAAAAGATGTGCAGCAGCATTCTGCACCCCCAGAAACGTGTGAATTACTGATACCCTTATAAAGTGCATTACAGTAATCCTGCCAAGTGGTTACAAAGGCATGGAGCACTGCTTCAAAATGCTGATGTGAAAAGATAGGTTCAACCTTTACTAGCTGCCTCAAGTAGAAGAAGCTGGATTTTACAACAGCTCTAATGTGAGATTCAAACTTCTGACTAGCATCTGTTTTAACCACTAAATTGGTAAGAATAGGCCTGACATGCTGTGCCAAAGATCCAATATCTGCAAGGGAGTCTTCACTGGAACTGGTAAAAATCACCTCTGTTTTTTCCTTATTGAGTTTTAAGAAATGTAGGAATATCCATGCTTTCAAATCTTCCAAGCATAAAACTGAAGAAAAGGGGAGTCGGTCATTCATGTAAAAAGATATAAAATGAATGTGTGACTGCTGATGAACAAAGCTGTTGTTTGTGAGCAGAAAGGTTATCAGGAAAAAAGAATAATTTAAACTGTTACTTTGTATGTTTTATTGTCTTTCATGTTCACAAATGGTGCTAAATTATTTTTTTCTTTTGGCAAAACAAATAAAAGTATGTATATTAG